TATGAGAATGAAATGGTTCTTTCATTTTCTAATCAAAACATATTTGAACGGGATTCAATAGTGCATGGGTTTCGTGCAATTAGTGCATATTGGTCTAATGAAAGTCACGTACACCATGTAAACACTTGATATGTGTGGTGAAAGCTAATGAGTCAATCTAATTTTTTGCATGCATAATTTGTGTTTATATTATTCCTTCCCCCGCGGGTTATCTGAGAGAATAAACAAGTGAAACACAACCCGGCGACAACGTTTGTTTACCGATTCGTTTGGGTTTGGACAAATATTAGCGTGTAAACGGTGCTGGATTTTAAACGTGTTGATGTATCCTTATCAGTTTACATGAAATCATACTCTTTCTGTACGACTGATAAGGCAGACTTAAGTGGATTTAATCAATAAACGTCCCTTAGTTGGGAGGCATTTCAGGCAGGAGTAAACTGAGTAGTGCTATTGCGTGCGATTATACAAAGGGATCCTGTTGTTACATGAGTTTAAACGGAGGATTTGATTCGATTATACGGACCTAAAAGGACAGAGACAAGCACACTATCTATTGGTTTGGCACACAACCAAATTCAATTTATTGTATTGTATTGTGGGATCAAATCATGCACTACTCGCATGTAACAAGTAGTCAGGTTTGGAGTGTTTTCGACTGACACAAACCGTTGTATGCTAGTGTTGAGACGAGCGAGGTATGGTGATTGCAACAAGTTCAGAATAATGGGTCGTGTTATATCGGGCATGGAGGCAGAGTAAAGCGATCTGATCAGTTACCCGGTGGTCAAGTGAACAGTCTGCTTGCGTTATATCTATGATTTCTCAGGCTTCATCCCTATTTGAGTCGATGAATTCACACCGCCGAAAAGATCGAACCAAATTGAAACAGCTGTCCCGTGGTTTCCGGCTTTTCAGTTCACACTTTGCTTGTTCAAACGTGAAGAAATGTTCTTCAAATTTCTTTTAAGTCAACCAATAAGAGATCAGTTATTTGAGAAGAAGCGTTCCACATTGTTGGTATTCTTTAGCCGGTAATGGATAGATTAATAATCACAAGAGGATGGGTGTGTATGGAACAATTTGAGTCTTAACAAAGAAATAAGTATAATGTGCACTTCGTATGGGTCCCAACATGGATGACGTAGCTTTCAGGGTCCACTGGTAACCCTCTCAAATGAAAAAGAATCCGAAGTCGAAAGAGATTTCACATAGAAGAAAGAAAACCAGTTCCGGTGTTTTCTAATAAATTTCATATATATCTTAAATTGTGATTCAATTAGTGTAAAAATGTTACCTGCATTTCAGGACCACGCGTACTCTGAAACAGTTTGAGCAGTTAAAGGCATCAATGTCTTCTTTCGACATACTCGAAATGTTTTTGGGTAAATTGTCCATCTACTAAGACTTCTCGAAAGTCAGTTTAAGGCCTTAAAATACACTACTCTTTCCGAGATATAAGAGAATGAGCGTGTCAAAACTTCAGCAAATCGATTTCTTCGTCGATTGTTCTTATTTCAGCATTATTACCACAAGTGTTATTGAATCAAATTACCATCCTTTTGTGGAAAACTCAACCAAAGGACGCAACTCCGAGTGTCCTTGATAAAACAGATGCGAAAAGACAGATGCGTGATGCTGGCATTTTACTTACATCCTACCACCGTTGAGTAAGACAAACCACTTGTTTGCAATTGCAGTTGTTTTGCCCAAGAACGTATCCACAATGCTTGCATTTTGCAACTTGTGTCTTCATGATTAATGAAATTTTGATTGTTTCTGTATCTCTAGATCAATTATTTTTTATACTCTGAGCAGTTCTTTTTCTTTTAAGGTATTCATGTGTCTAAGATAGATAAGTGCAGCTTGTTACGAAGGCAGATTTTTCAATTTCTACCGCTCACGAGAAGCAATGTAGATTTGGATAACACAGTGGAATAGTGTATTGCAGAAACAAATGTAATATGTGGGGAACACACGCAAACTGTGACTGGACATGATGATTCTAAAGGTCATATACGAGGTTTCAAGTGAGGTAAAAGAAACACTGTTTACCTAAATGAAATACGGACTAAATGCCTCTGTGAATGTGAATTGGGCAGACAGAAATACGGTTCGCTGTTTACTTTCCCGTGTGAAACCAAGGCGCAGGAAGGTTGATTTTATTTAGTTATCAGTAGTATTTCAGAGGGGTTTGGAATTCCAATGCACCTCCCTGTAAGGTAAAATGTATTTCCTTTTCCAGTTCAATTCAGCATCAAACTTTATTTCATTCCAAAAAGTGCGAAGAAGTGATGTGTAATACAAGGGCTAACCGGGCCGCAATTCATGGGATCTCGTCAAAGCGAAAAGAGCAAAACAGAGCCATCAAAATTGATGTATTGCACAATATAAATTTCCTTGCCTAAAGCATCACGCGTGCTATATATGCAGAGCAAATCATATCAGAACCATGTGGGGAATACACTCTCGGAGGGGTAGCATATTAAACCAGGTTCAACGCGGCAAAGCAGTTCGCATGCGCATGAGCGTGCACGCCTAATTTTTCTGTCTGTGCGCGAACCCAAATAACTGAGAAACCCCGAAGGCACAGGCTCCTAGCGAGTGAGCGTTTATACAGCAGAAATAAGGCCCGGCAAACATGCACAGCTAATAATGGATAGACAGTATTTGATCGGTGAAATGTAAATCTTACCCTGGGAACGAGGATTGCATTCCCAGTAGCCATCACCTTCAAAACCATCTCGACACTGACAACGGCCCTGGTGACAAACCCCATGCTTGTGACAGACGATTCCTTCGCAAGGATCTAGGAGAGTAGCCCAACAAATGTTTAGTAAAAATCAATCAAGTAGGATATTGAAAAGACTAGATAGGAAACTGCGAATAGGGAAACGCATAATGCTGAACATATGACAGTACAGTTCTACAATTGACAACCAGTATCATTATTAGAGATCTACTGAGACAAGTACCTCATTTGACCACTGTCTATACAGAGATTTTTTAAGTATTCAATTTACTCCACATTGCACTGTTTTGTAATTTTCTGGCAACCAGTTCTTCTGATCTCCAGCACATATAGTGAAAAAACAAGTACTTTATCTTTGTGGGATCTCCACCCGAAATTGGAGGATAAAGAACTAGCAAAACATAGAATGATTTGCTAGATGTTTAAGTGAATCAAAAGTTAGCTTATGAACTGAGAGAAACGCAAAAAATAATGATGTTATCGAAGTAGATGAAGCCTATGAATCGAAATTTTCAATTTAGCCCTAATGGGATGGTTTAAATATTTTTCCCGTTTGTTTTAGTTCAGAAATCAAGAAAGAACAGCAAAGGGAACGATCTGCTTTCTTATAATCATGTTCAAACGAGGCTAAAACCAGTTCTTAAAACTCTTTAATGAACGGTGTGAAAGCGGTATTTTGCTATTTTGAACCAGTTCTTCTTAATATCACTCTCTTCTCACAGTTGCTCACATAAGCTTGATGATTTCTAGGTTCAATAGAGTAGTATACACGAATTTATTTGAATGTCATGTGACTGGGCTCACCGTAAGCATTGGGCACACATTCCCGATATCCGTCACCAACGTAGCCACTGGCACATTGGCATCGATCATTCACACAGTGTGCTTTCTCATGACACTGATGTCCACCACACAATTCTGAAAATGAGTAGATTTTGATGCTAAAAATGGAAATCCAACTGTACGTACGCTTTAATTGGTAGCACGCACGCACACTCCTAATTTTCACGTCGTCATGCAACTATTAATGTCACCTTGCGAAACGAAGCGCCTTGTTGTGGCACCAAAGAATGATCTAAATTACAGTATTCGTGTACGATGCAGGTGAGTTATGTGAGTCCTGGCATCAGGAGGAAAAACACAATCACAACCGACCACCGCACACAACAGTTGGGCAACATTGTCATCAGAGCCCAGCTACAACATTCACACCGGCAATACAGGCAAGCACAAGCACGTTCGCAGTTTTATATGTACGTAGTGTGTAAAATGAACGCAAAAGGAATTGTTGTTTGTAGAGAGGGAGGGGTAGTGCCAGACAGTCAATCAACAAGTGGAAGGTTTGCTTTTGCATTGCGTTATCACCGGTCGGGACACTCACCGCCAGCAATCGGGGTGCATTGATAAAGACCATCGCCTTGATAACCCTCTAAGCAACGACACTGACCGGCTTCACAAAAACCGTAATGATGACAGCGTACGCTTGCACAAGGATCTATGGTGGAACAATTTATTCAATTGAGAACAAATGAGGGTGTGATATAATAATAGTTACTTAATTTTGGAATTCCTAATTGTAAATAAGTGTGATTGGTGCATGGTTAAATAACGAGCGTTGACAGGTATTACAGGGGCTAATTATTGAATATTTCAGTAACATCACTCAACATTCCAGAAGGGCAGCTGGAGGTCTGTGATGCGACCAAGCTGAGTTTTGGTGAAAAATGAAAGTTCCTTAGCAGGTTTATGACAGCTTTAGGTTGCAACAAAACAGATTCCCAGAGTAGATATAAAATCTAATCACTATACATTTATACAAGGGAATGGGGAGAATACAACCTAGTTGCTATCGGGTCAAATTTAACCGACTGACTATCTCTGAAGACGACTGCTGACTAAACATGAATTGACAATTCGGTTTAGCCCCGGCATGAGCTGGTTGATACAGTGGTAACACGCACACTTTCCATACACTGGGTTCGGAGTTCAAATCCCGGACGATGTATATGCACTTCTGATGAGCTCTCACAAAGGCAATACTCGGGTCTAGTGCTTCCGAGTGTATGGTTGACTGGAAAAGCTGAGGAATGTACGAGGAGGTGAAGTGTAAAGCACGGTCAGTTCTAATCTATCAATCAATAAATACTAGTCCCTTTGGTGAAACTATTTTAGTTTTATAAACTATTAATTTTCTCAAGTTTAACTTCTTTATCGAACCACCAGATAGTGGCTCAGACTCATCACATCCAAAATTCTTAGATGCCCAACCCTTGTAACTATGCCATCTTAATGGGATCTTTGTGGGAAAGATTTAACTTGTGATAATAGCCACCAAATCGAGCCGCATTTATTCCACAAAGAGATACTAACGATTAAAAACAATTAACAGAATTCGTAAGTATTGACCATACTCATGCAACACCCTGATTTTCATCAGATTTATTCCTCTCAACGTATATACGTATCGGCCATTATTAATCGTATGTCGGTCTGACATACACAGTCAAGTAATCTGTGTGAAACCACTTCAATCTACATTTATCATGTTCTTAGAGATCCGCTTTACCTCTTAACGGGATGAATGATCAAATGATTCTCAATTTGAATAAATTTGAATACTGGGAATGATACATTGTATAAGTAAAATGGTTGTTCCAAAGAAGAAAACGCAACCCCAGTAAGGAAGAGAGAAAGCATCACCTTCGACGAACTCCAGATAAACTTACAGTAAATGTTCATAAAACCTTGTTTTGGAGGAAAAAAAGGCAGCGATTTCAAAGAAATATTCTGGTGCACAAAAATTCAATGTCACTTGTAGGAAAGCTGATACTTTATGAGAAATCTCATGCACATCAAGATGCAGTAAATGCGGATACATCTCCAAAATATTCCCCTCTAGTCACATATAATTTCACCTGTTTCGTTGAATGTCATTCAGTGCACTGTGATTCTGTTCGTGCAGCCTAGCAGGAGCACGTGGGTGGACCATAAAAACGAATGCAACAAATACGATTTGTTTACCACGATGTTTGGAGAAGAAAAGAGGACCTTGAAACCCATGCGTTCATAGTCCCGAGTGCCAAATGTTTTAACCACTTATGACATCCATTTAATGCGAAAAATATCAATGTGTAAAACTAGTATCGTCCTAAAAGATTTCAACACGCTTGCACAAACCTAGATTAGCACACGCACAGAGAGAGGTATGCGTTTGGTGGAGAGATAAATGCGTGGTAGATGGTCAGTTCGCGCACCGGACTACTCGCCTTTGGGGTGCCTGATTCATGCAGCTTTCACCAGAAACGCTCGAATCTGGATTGCGGAGTTGAATGTGAGCGCAAAGTGAGCGGATGACGTGGATGGGTGAGCGAGCGAGCGAGCTAGTGAGAGAGACAGAGCACCGAGGTGCAACTGCCTGCACACTCTCAAGGACAGAATGGGTACTCACCAGAGGCTAGCCTACAATCTCGATAGCCATCACCCTCAAAACCGGGTAAACACAAACAGAGGCCGTTTTGACAGGTGGCATTCGGGTGACACTGGATCACGGCACACGGGTCTGATTTGAGTCAGAGGGTTGGTTGGAGTGGATAGATAGAGTGAAATGGATCAGAGTTAAATAGAAATTACAGCTTCTATCGAATCGTGACTTGTGATTACTCTCTAAAACGAGGGGAAGGGGTAAAGTCACAGATTTGGAGGCAGTCCAATGATCATACTGCTGATCATTTTTGCGGCATTATTAGGTCAATGTTTCTATAGCGAGGCATAAATCCTGTCTAATTTGATAAACTATTCAACGAGTGCAAATAAAAACCAGACAAAAATTTCAGGATTATTTGAAACAGAAAAAGACCAGGATTATGGGTTTTGGATAAATTTGGAGCCGGTAAGTGACCAAAACAGAAGAAAAAGGTGAGAACTTCCTCATCAT